ATCAGAAAGTCTGCTGTCATTTTCTATATACGTTTCAGTTCTCTCCCTGCTGCAGCAAAAAGCGTAAGAATGTGACCTGATGAGGCTCAGAAATGGGAAAGCCCTTGAAAAGACTCTTTCACTGATTATTTTTGACAATCCCATGATTTTTCATTCAATTCCATCATTTCAGGGGCTGAATTATGAGCCTGAAAAAGCTGGGATTGCCAAAAGTCCCTTCTCAGGAATGCATGCTGGCTCCTGTGCACTGGGAGTTCAGCCTGCACGGGGCACGGAGCCCAGGACTCCTCACCGCCTGAATGAACACCTCTGATCATCCCGCTGCAAACCTGAGCCTGCAATTAGCAGAGCACTGCTCAGCGCATGTGCTATGGCCAGCGAAGACTTGAAGCAGGCATCAAAAGAGCAGAGGACTCGGCTGGCTTATCGGATAAGATACAGATGAATAAAGCTGGGGATACAGAATTTAAAATGATGGTGTGGGTCATTCCATATCCATTGCCATTTGTCTCTCATGTCTTTCTCGCTTCCTAGTTTACGGTGCATCAGAGCATAGCTCTGAACAAAATTATTAGTGAGCAAGAGGATGTCAGTTTGAATGAATGACATGGGAAGGGAAGAAGGGGAACCAAGAGGACATATGAGTGTCATACACTAGCTACAGAACATAGTAAGAAGCTGACAGCCAGCAGGATTCTGCCCTCGGCTAAAGGTAAGTACATAAGATTAGCAGAAATGCTTTGCTGGATGGGAAAGGCAAAGAGCATTATACCAATAACGCTGCTGTCAATTATAGCTACTGATTTACTGCAACCTGTGATGATATGATCATATTGTTGTGATATGGCTATTCACAGCTGTATTTGATAGGGAAAATGTCAAAGAGACTCTCTGGGATGCAACTCCAGGTATTAACAAGGGACAGTACTGTCTTCTGAAATGAGAGCACCGCTAATAGGGAATTACTAGCTTTAGGTAAAGGTGGGCCCGGCATGCTGACGAGTTACATCACAGAAAGTGTTGTTGTGCCTCCCCGCAGGGCACATAATGGGAGGAAGTGCCAGCACGGGTGCTGAGTGGGAAACACAGGTTTATCTTAGCTAGCAGCAGACATACAGAACTCAAAACGGCTATGTGCAGAAGGAAGTGAGTCTCCTGCTGGGACTTAATGGGCTGATAGATGGTTCATTTTACGACCAGACTGATCAGAAAAATTACCAAAAGGAGAGTAAAGAAGAGAAATAAATAGACGTTTGTTTCAAGAAAGAACTAAATGAGCACTGGAATAGCAATTAGCTACAGGCGGGAAGAATCAAGCAGAACCCCTGCTCTCAACACAATCAGTCCTAGGAGCTGGTTGTGCACAGGGACATCACATTTCCTTGGCCACATCCCAGAAATGACCAGAGATTGCAGTGAGGATGCATTAATCAAAGACAAAGCCTCTGCTGTGGCTTAAATTGTGCAGATGCCCTGGCCTGTGCCCAGCAGGGCTGGGCTGTGATTCCAGCACCTGCCAGTGCCACAAGCAGTTGGCATGGGTGCTGGCACCCGCAGGGCAGATCCAAGTGGTAGCAAAGTGCTCTTCAAGGCAACAGAGCTGCCTGCTTTTCTCCTGTTCCTCCTCTCTCATCCTTTCCTCTCTAGTGATTTTCTCTATCTCCTGGTTCTTTCCCATGCATTTCCACCGCCTCGGTACCGTATTCACTGCAGATGAGCAGCAGCAGCTCCCATCTCACTGGGACTCTGCACAGTCTCATTTGCTTAGTGATGGTATCCTAGCTGCAGCAAAGTGTGAATCTGCGCACCACAAGGCACTGAACCCACCATGTGTGGCAGGCTGGGCATATTCATGCTCAGAGCCAGGTGCTGCACGTGGGTTCTCCACTATCCAGCCTTTGGTGGGTTTCCAAAGGCACATGTGTGACACATCCAGGAATAGCTCTTTCCTGTAAATCCCACATTGGCAGAGGGTGTAGGAAGAGGGGCAGAGATCAAGTTCCCTCTCTGTGGTCCATTACATAGATGAACACCACAATATTCTATCTTCCGCGTTATGACCCAGGCTCAGAGCTACATCCCGCAGGGAAACATGGTCACAGTCCTCTCCTCTCCTCTCTCTGAGATGGATAAGTGCATGGGTTATTTCCATCTGGACACCCAATACATTTTTGTCTGTAAATGAGAGAGAGGCTCATTTGCAGAGCAAGCAGTTTCTGTGGAGCCAAGAGGCAGAAGGCCATCCTTTACACCCAGCTCACGCTCACACTACTGGGGAGCAGGGAAGCAGTTGAGTATTGACAGGATTAAACCCACGTGAGAGCAGAACCGAGCCCTGACAGCTGGCTTTGTTCCAGCTGAGTTCTGTTTGAAACCTGTTCAGATTATTAGGTTTGAAATCTAACTCAAAGAAACTCCAAGCTGTGCAAGGCTTCAAAGCTGCTGTTGTGAAAGGGGAATGTTACTTTAGCATTGAACTCTAACACAAGCAATGCCTGGGGAGTTTGGCTCTGGCTGGGGATGAACTGCTGGCCTGACATTTTTGCCTCTGTAGTGACTTTCCTTCTCTGTCTCAGGGCTGAAAAAAAAAAAGCCATGTGCCGCTGCGAGCAAGCTGTTCAGTTCAGTGACATGCACCATACGTTGGGCCATTTGTCAGGAAAAACAGCCCAGAACAAATGGAAAACTAAATGGCAACTCACCAGGAACACCCTATTTCTCACTTTGCAGTCTGAGTGCTTTAAAATATCTGCAGTCTCCAGTACTTCCTCCTTTTTTTTGGCTTTTTAAATACTCACATGGTTGAGGTGGGGGCTCCCAGGAAAGGCTGTTTTCCCGTTCACACTTGGAAATGGTTGCTCATAGGTGTTACGCTGCTGAGAGGCTGGAGACAATCTATCTCCTTGAGAGTTCTCCAGATGTCTTGTTCCCTGCGTTGTTTCTGAACAGCAGAGAGCAAAACACAGACTGGCCCACAAAAAGCCTGGCAGTGAGCTGTGCTTTCTTTAGCCTCAGCATAACCAGCTATAGCAGCATGGTGTGACTATATGGGTGTCATTATAGTGCTGCAAAGTGGCACATTTTTATCTCCAGCCCATTTCATCAGCAAAGAAAGTTATTTCTGTTTCCAGGCAAATTTCTAAGGAGCAAGTCCTACAAAGCAACTTGCATGTCGGTGAAAAAAGACTAAGACTTTTATTCAGCAGCCGTGGGCATTTTGGAGGTGAGTGGGGACAGCAGCTAGGAAGCTTGCAGTGGCAGCATGCTGGGCTGCAGCACAGTTTTTGCTTCCCCAGAGATGGTGGGTCGGTGTACAGCATGTAGCACCAGCTCCAGGCCTCACCATGCCGGTGCTGTCAGTTCTTGAAAGGTGAATCTCCAAAAGGTCTGCTGTGGCTGCACTTCTGAGCATCGTTTACTGCCCTTCTGCGTTGGCTTATGTCGCAAAGGCAACGAGGGATTCCCCAACCATTGGGATTAACAAGTCCTAAGGGCTCTGCCCTGCATCCCCTGACCTCCCCTCTACCTGCCCATTCTTCTCCTTGGTACTTCTAGCTTCTTTCCATGTTCCCAACATCCTTCTCCAGGCCAGATGCTGGGCTTACAGCTGCATGGGCACAAGCGTACTGGCTCATACCCCAGGAATTTGTAAGCAGCTGAGCTCTGCCTCTCCTTCCATTGCTGGGCACTGACCAGGGTCTTTCTCCTCTACCTAACTGACAATTCTCAAGTAGGAAAAAAATATCTTTAAGACTTCCAGTCCTCTGCCAAGTGTGGCTGAAATTGGACAACAGGGTCAAAAGAAGTTAGGGGAAGATGGAGGGAAGTAAGAAGCAGACAGGCAGATGGACCAGCAGACGGCACCGTTACATAAAGTATGTTTTCTTAAGCGGCTAGGCTAAAAATTCATACATGAAAAAGCTGCTGCCCCTGCTGAATTCACACTGGGTGTCTCTCTCATGTATAGACATGGTATAACCCACTTCCAATCCCCTGCCTGCAAAAAAATCTGTTTTGGGTGACGATGCTCCAAGTAGGAAGAATTCTCTGACTTAATATTGGTGCTGGGATGGACGCATTCAGCTGGAGCTTAGAGTACATTCAGGCTCAATGAGAAAGGAAAATGGCTTGCGCACACGTACTATAAACTCCCATGGGAGCCATTTGGACAGAGATGGAGTCATGCTTTATAGTGGGAAGGAGAGTCTACAATAACAGAGTGAAAGGTTGAAGTACCAGCACCACTAACAGCAATTGAGCTCACTTGGCCTTAGTGCATGCTTTAATTTAAGAACTACAGTTGATCATTTGAGCCTCTCCTCATTGCACAGAAACCACTGGGAAAAGCCAGAACACCTGGAACTGCTGGAGAAAGAGTCCAAACATCTCAAACCTCTAGAAAAGCCAACTCACCTAAGGCTAAACTGCAATGCAGAACATGCAGCCTTATCTGCAGTGAAGGACTAAGATGGCCTTTCAGTATTAATTCAACATTATTATATTAACACTACAGTGTTATAAAACCCCTGAGGAAGCTGTCGGGACCGATGCAAGCAACTGCACCAATTTATCATGCTAATGAATGTGCCTTCCCTCCTCTAGCCACGACCCTTCAAATATGAGCATGTCCTCAGTGGAGGAGCCCTGGGGACAGCAGCAGTGAGGGACACCTGGACTCACACACCATTTTCGGTGGCAGGGAGAGGAAGGTGTATTCACTGATGGCTGTCCAAAGCAATTTCTTCAGTGGAAAGGTAACACTCACTACCCAGTAATGCCCTCTGCATGTTGCTGTCACATCCCAGCATCCCAGGCTGCTGAATTGCTGTGGTGTGCCTGCAGAGGAGGGACAGACCCTGTGAGGCAGCAGCAGCTGCCCCATGGTGCAGGAGGAAAGGTCACTGCAGCGTGGGATGCAGACAGGCCCTCGTGCACACATGCCTCCTCCATCATGCCAGGCATGCACTCCTCACCTCCTCTGCATGCCTGAGCTGGCCTACCTTTGTCTCTTTGATCTTGACAGCGATGACTTGTTTGCGCTGGCGGATGATCTCCATGAGCTCATCACACTCCTCCATCAGCTTGGCCTCATGCATGGCTGTATTGACCTAGCCAGAAACAGCAGAAACCCCACACTGTTAGAAGGTCACACACTTGAGACTGAACCTGGCAGCTCCAGTGGCTCTTGCAGCTCAGACTGAGAGAAAAGCAAGGTCCCTGTGGTCCCCCCAACTCTGAGCCCTGGGTCTGCTAGCTGCCAGGCAGGACACAACTGTCTTAAAACATTCACTACTGCTTAAGTGACAAAAGCAGAAGCAGGCTTGCACTTCTGCAACTGTTTTCACTTCAGCTGGAGGCAGGAAAAGGCCAGAGAGGTGTGCAAAGCCCTCTGCAGTATTAACCTCTTCGGTGCTGTGGCAGGGCATTCAAGGTTGGTGCCGAGTGACAGGCCATGCTGCAGGGCAGTACGGGCATAGATACTGTCTCTTCCCCGTTACCTGGGACAGATTACACGTGTTGCAGGTAAATGGTTCTCCAGGAGCAGTGAGCCCCCACTCACACTGCTGCATAGGTTGGCTCAGCCCTGCAGGGGTGCAGCACCCCCCAGTCATGGCTGCATCACTTTCCAAAAAAGCTGGGCCCAGGAGTGGTACCATCGGACAGTGTCTACACCCACCACTGGCCTGAGCCAGCCCTGCACAAGGATGCTTACGTATCTCTCCATATGACCTGCACATCTCCTTTTCTCTGCAGGGTTATTGGTTTGGGGAGCCAGACACAGCCATGCTTGTACTGCTGCTAGGCTTAGGCTGCTCCTGCCTTTCACAAGATGATTCCCTTTCCACCCCTCCCCAGCAGTGGGGGCAGCTGGAGGTTATTCTGCCCTTGCTCGCCTGCTCTGAGTTTAGTGGTACAGGCTTCTTGCAGTAGAAAAGAGCTTCGCTGCCCTCTGCTCCTGAGCGAACCTCACATCTTTCTCATAAGCAGATGCATCTAAAATGAGGCAGCATTCATGTGTTAGCCAAAGGAAGAATGGGTTTAAAAATGAATGAGAGTACCCTGCCTGGTATAGCAAGGTCAGCAGTGCAGCATGGGCTCACCTCGGGCCTGAGAGCAGAGAGGCAGTTGTAACTTCAAAGCATCTGTAAGAGCAAAGCCTGAAAGCAATCGCTCTGTGTGGGGAGAGGGAAGTGCAGGAGCCGAGGTAGGGCCTAAGGAGCACCGCAGGGCTGCAAAGACCACAGTCAGGAAATTCACAGCAGGGGGTGAATCAGGTCTATGTGGCAATGGCTACATGCCAGCTGGGCTAGTGTAGCCCCCTTGCCTCTGCTCCAGCCGCTCGCTGCACTGGGCTATAGCCCCAAGCTCTGCAGTGCAATGAAGAGCCCTGGAGAGGAAGGGCTTCTCCCAGCCCTGCAGGATGCTTTCAGCCGGATTCAAGGAGCACCAGCACCTCCTCGGATGTGGCTTTCAATCCACAGTCCAGAGCAAACTGGGCAGCCACTGGGCAGGATGTGCCAGTGCTGCCCAGCCCAGGCAGGCAGGGTCAGTCACTGCAGTCTTCCTGCACCAGCTCCCACAGCAAGGGCTCTGGGATTGCTCTCTGCTGGGGTGAGGGCTCATGCCAGGAAGCCAAGCATGCATACAGCCATGCCACATGGTAGCACTTGTCATTTGAGACAAAAACTGGTGTACAAGACCCATCAGTCTTGTTTTTTACTGTTTTTAAACAACCCAAGTTGTTTACTGGGCTTGCAGTTTGCTTCCTAAACTGAGGCAGCTACCCCTAATGGATTTTGCTATTGACTCACAACGAGGAAACCCTGGCAACATTCAGACCCGCAACCTCTTCCGCACACAATTCCCTCTCAGCCGTGATTCCCAGTGATACAAGACAGAATCACAGAATCACAGAATCACAGACACATAGTTCCAGTTGGACCCACACCAGAAGCAGTACAGTGGGAATCAAACAGCACTTCCACAATCACATCCATTCATCTTCCAGACTTCCAGTAATATTCCCCTCTTCCTAAACTCACAGAATCACAGAATCGTTTAGGTTGGAAGGGACCTCTGGAGATCAGCTAGTCCAACCTCCCTCCTCAAGCAGGGTTATCTAGAGCACATTGCCCAGGATCGCGTCCAGACCGGGTTTTGAATATCTCTAGTGAAGGAGACTCCACTACCTCTCTGGGCAACCTGTTCCAGGGCTCTGTCACCCTCACAGTCAAGAAGTTCTTCCTCAGGTTCAGATGGAACTTCCTGTGGTTCAGTTTGTGCCCGTTGCCTCTTGTCCTGTTGCTGGGCACCGGTGAGAAGAGACTGGCCTCGTCCTCTCGACACCCCCCCTTCGGATACTTGTACGCATTGAGGAGATCGCCTCCGAGTCTTCTCTTCTCCAGGCTGAACAGGCCCAGC